TTCTTCTATCCCACTCCTCCTCCCCTTGGTGTATTTCCACTATATGTCAATGTACTTAATTTATCCTATTTTTACAGACCTTCGACCCTCCATACACCCTTTTTTTCGCCCCCCTCCAACTTTCCGTCTTCCCACCATCATTCCCCTCTACCCGACTTTCCCTCCCCCTCTACCACACCTCTCTCCCAATACACTCCCTCCCTCCCTTCTCACCCTCCCTCCAATCCTCTCTCCCACGCTCTCTACCCCGCGAGTTGGGTTAGCTTAACAGACATTATCTTATTCCCTCTGAGCTTCTTGGAGTAGAAAACTACTGCTCAAAAATACGTTTTATATCAAACCTTTGTCCTTGAGCATTGTTGGAAGCGTTTCCCTTTTCAGAGCACCACATGGAAAAAGAAGAGGCAATGAATTTGATGGCTCCCCTGTTTAAGAAATAAAAAGGGATTTAATTCAGAACGGCATTTTAAGCACGAGGAGCACAACGCAATGCTTTAAAGTGGCCACATGCTAAAACAACGTAAGTAGTGCAATGTATTTGACTTGTATACCTACGATTGCTGAAAACATTTAATGCTCAAAACTAAACACACATCCCATAGAGTAGCAGCTTACTTAGCATGTAAATTAAAAAGGAATCCATTGCCAAGTTACAGATGTTTGCCTAAAAAGATGTGGCAAAAAGATTAATCGCCTTGCTATTCTTGTGCTATTCAACAGAGAGCTCGGAGCACAATGCTTCCAAACATTTTAATACATTTTCTCCTCCCATTCTGCCATTTGGCATTCTTCAGACTTCACATACAGGCACACGTGTAGAAAGTTAAAAGACTCAATTTAGCAGGATAAATTCATCTTCTACACAAAAGGAAAAGGTCAAGATAGTCACGGGAAGGACCAGCTTGCTTTGAAAAGAGCCCCCAGTTCTAATTGGTGTTTCTGTTGTTATTGACGGCGGCCAACATCCTTTTTAACCTTAGGACAGATTGTTAATTGGAATTATATCTATCACTTTCTCATCTTTCAAGATGATATTCCCGTAATCACTAGTTCTGCTGGAAGAAATTCTGTTTGGATTTGAAGAGGGATTTAAAAAAAAAAAAAGTTCTTTGCTTATTCACTTCCATGAGAGTTTTTCCTAATATTTTCGGTTCCACCACAAAACCGCGTTCGACTAAAGGGCGCTCGACGAAACCGCGTAGCTGACGTCATCACAGC